ATTTTGTTATTCTCTTCCGGGGGGGGGGGTATCTAAGGCTTCCTTTCGCCGTCTGCTTTCCTGCCAAAGCCGGCCGAGGTTCATTGCCGTTAGGAAAAGGTTTATTTTTAAAAAAAGCAAACACCTTTGAAATGCACCGTTTGTCCACCTTGGCCCTTCCCGGCTGTCTACGTCTCAAAGAGGGCAGTCCACCCTTCTGGCCCATTTGTCATTGTTTTACCAATTGTTATTGCACCAAATCGAAAAGTCAAATCCTGATATTGTATTTTGTTGTTGATGTAGATGTAATATACTGCGCCAACTGAGAGGTATTGTATCACGTTCTGCACCTACAGCGCACCAATGAGTCCGAGTCCATCTTGGAACTTGATTAGTAGGCCCGTTTCCAGTGGTTGAAATTTTTCTTAGGTTACGTTGTACATCCGAAAACAAGTATCACAGTTTGTTAGTAGGTGAGTTGGTGTCTTCTCAGCTTCTTTCAGAATCTGCACGTGCCGTGTTGTATCATCCCAACCTCCTTCAGATGTCTATTCAGACTGCAGTGTCTTGTTAACACTTTCTTGCCCAACCTTGTCTCAGGACATCACCAACTTTTGAAAATGAATGTTGGTAATTTGCAGGGTTTTTCTTTCAAGTTTCATCCCGTGTATTGGCAAAACTGAATTTTTAGCGCCAATGAAAAATCTCCATTTTGGAATCTTCTATCTACAACCTCTGCAACTCTAACATGGCTCTTCACCCATTGTTACACTAGCCAAATAAAAAAAATTCATATCCAGTTTTAACCCTGCTTGCCGAAGTCGCTTCAAAGCAATGCCAACTTCAGCAGCCGTTTCAGGTTAGCCGGAAATTCCGTGATTTCAGGGCGGGAGTGGTGGTGTTCCTCCTCTGTTTTTGCCCGTGTATTGGCAACACTGATTTTTTTAGCGCCAATCTAAAATCTCCATTTTGGAATGTTCTACCTTCACCTGCTGCTACTCCAACATGGCTCTTCACCCATCGATTGTTACACTAGCCAAACTCAAATTTTTTATATCCAGTTTTAACCCTGCTTGCCTAAGTTGCTTCAGAGCAATGCCAACTTCAGCAGTTGTTTAAGGTTAGCCGGAAAACCCGTGATTTCAGGGCGGGAGTAGTGTTGTTCCTGCTCTGTTTTTGCCCATGTATTGGCACTGATTTTTTTAGTGCCAATCTAAAATCTACATTTTAGAATCTTCTATGTTCAACATGGATCTTCGCCGATCACCAATTAACAAACTTAAAATTTCTAATACCAGTTTGTAATTTTTAACCCCTTTTTTCTTGCCCAGGTTGCTTAAGAGTCATGCCAACTTTAGCTATTTTGTTAAAAGGTTAGCTGAAATCTCGTTAGTTTCTGGCGGGTGCAGTGTTTTTCCTGCTATGTTTCTACCCGTTGGCAACACTGGTGTATGTAGCGCCAATCTAAACTCTCTACACTAAACTCACGAGATTTCCCGCTAACCTTTTAACCAAATTGCTCAATTTCGCCTTGCTCTAAGACAACATTAGAAGAATCCTGTTAAGAAGTTTTATCCTGCTTCCTTTGATGCATTCTGTTGTTTCTTTCTTTTCAAAACTTGCTAGAAGGTTCTTGGATTGTTTATGTCAAATGAATTCAATTAATTCCTCATTTTCAGTTAGTCTGTTTGTCTATTATGCCCATTGGTATATGCCATGTTTTCCTTGCAACGACCGCTCTATCGTTGTCGGTGATGCACAACTTTTTTGAGATGGGGGCCTTGCTCTAAATACGGCAATTATCTGATCCTACGACCCCTAGCAAAATACTTTTGTGATCATCCTCTTTCGTTAGAGGAAAAAACCGTTCACTTTTCAAAAGGACTTTCCTATTTGCTCTCCTAGTTTGATCACTTTGACAATACACATGAGATGGTCTTGAAAACTTAACTAGACTCAAGATTTCATTAATTCCATTTAAAAGTCTTCTAACTTTTTTTTTTTTGGACTGTGGCCATGTTTTATTTCAGTGAGATGTCATAAAATTGGAAACCAGACCGTCCGATTGCTCGCCCCTTGAGGTTTAATCTTAGCTAGAAGAACAAAGAATTTAAAAACAGATCGACAATTAATTTTTATTGAATAATTGTAAAAATAGATTTCGTATTTCGTCGTAGTCTTGTTTCAGGGTTTGTGGCGGGAAAAAAAATTTCAGCCGGACTTTTACCCGTTGCCCAAGGGAAGGATTCACTTTTGTTCATGCTATTGTATGTTACAGCGTTGCGTAATGATCATCTTCGGCGATTGCATCTTTGCATCCGCAGCACACGAGTACAAGTACATTTCGGGTGAAAGTCTCCACCCTGCCGATGATGTTCCAGTTTCCGGTGGTGGTGGTGGAAAGCAAGTTGTATTTACACCTAATTTTATAAAAAACCGACATTTCCGGTTTTTCAAATTTTCTGCCGGTTCGGGAAATGTGCACGAAGTCTGTCGGGCGTTACATTGTTGCTGGGTGATGGTACAGCATAAATAGGGATGACGCAGTGATGATCGTCGATGTAATTCGTCGTCGGTCTATGAACTGCTTCGCCGACCTTTTTTTTTGTTTTTTTTTGTCTCCATGCAGAAATTAACGACAAGAATTTAAACGGCGTTGCAGATACTTCAATTTTTGGGTATTGTACGATTGTCGTTGATGCTAATAAAAAATGTCTTATTGTTAAAATTAAATTTATTCAATCTTTGGTTTTTCATAAAGTTAAAATTTGATCCCTTCGTTGTTTATGGGTCAGTGATATTAATATTTGTTTATATTTGTATAATTCATACTTAAAATGTAAGGGTGCTAAAACACGCCTAGAAATTCAATAAGTGCAGGCGATTTTGGTCATTTATATCACTCTTAATTAAATTCAAATAGTCCACCTGGTTACATGGATGTCTTGCCTAGGGGAGGTGCAGAAGGTTCTGTGCTAAAAGCTGGGGATTAAACCCCAAAATGTCTCTACCTGTGTCATAATACCAATGTTGACATATGGTCTTGGCGTGGACCAAGCCGCAGGCTAAGGTGCTCAGGCTATTTCGTGCCCTTCGACTTGCCTCAGAATCACTGACGTACAATGCCAACCGCAGCCTTTGCTCCTTACTCTAATCCAAGGAGAAGGCAGAGAAGTGGATAAAGGACAAACATATACAAGAATAGGCCAAGTCAACGAAAAATGGAAACTTAGTGCAATACAGGCAGATACTAAGCAAGGCAATCGATGCCACTACTCCAGAATATAACTTTACCAAAAACTACATCATACCAGAAAGGGAAGAGTGTGCCAATATGAATTCTCTACGCTCACATCCTATTCTTGCCTAGCATCTTGCCAAAAATACACATCCAATGTAATTAATGAGACCAAAACCTGGTGGATATTCTAGGCAAGATTCGTAGGTGGGCAAAAGTTAGAAAGGAATCACTGGAGGGTAACCTCAACAGAATCAAGATTCTTGTTGGACTCCTGTCAGGGCACTACCACCTAAGAAAGCACACGCACCAGGTAGCAGCAGGGACAGAACACTATGCAGATACACTACCTCCCAGGATGAAGAAGAGACCTCAGAACATGTTTTATGTTTTTGTGACGGTCTATGATAGATTCTTGCAACAAGGTCCCACTGGCAAGGCTATGAAAGTTGATTAATAACCTGAAGCCAGGGACCTATAAAATTAGAGGAGAACAGTAGATCTACTCAGGTCGACGTGCGAAAGGGCTTGTGGCCGCCTCTTTTATCCCTATCCCTAACAGGGGCAGGAGTATTTGGACCAGGAACCAAATACTCAGAACCCGTGAGAAAATACACCAGTATCTTCCAAGCTGAGATCCAATCGAAAGATGGGTACAAAAATAAGAATATAGCTATCATGTCAGATAGCCAAGCAGCCATCAAAGCACTAAGCTCAGATATCATTAGTTCAAGGTTGATGCTGAACTGCAAAAACCAAATTAAACAAATTAGGTACGCAGAACAAAGTCAGCCTCTGCTGGGTCCCAGGACACATGGGAGTAGAAGGCAACGAGAAAGCGGACACCCTTGCAAAGCAAGGAGCTGCTGCACCGCTGACCTGAACCCTTCTGTGGCATAGGAACCCACTCTATTAACGAGTATCTCAGACAGGACAAAAAGAAAATTAAGGAACAATGGAATTCACTCATTAGACACAGACAATTCAAGAATCTCCTGACCAATTTCCGAAGGAAAGAAGTTACCGAATGTGTAACCAAAGGAACCAGGAATAAACCGTGAATCCTAACAGGATTCTTAACAGGACACTCAAGCTAAATGGACGTTTAAAGAAGATTGGAATAATCCAAGACGGCACATCAGATTCTGCAAAGAACCAGAGGAGACACCAATTAACAAACTGTGGTGCTACACTTGCCCGCAGGAGGAAGTGTTTTCGGGTATATAATGTTACCATAGAAGAGCTTCAACCACTGAAACCGGGCCTAATCAAGTTCTTTGATGAAATAGGACTCACCTGCGTCCATGTGCTTTAGGCAGTACGGGGGATACAATAGCTCTTAAAGGGTGCTGTATACTATACCCTGAAAATTACATCTACATCTACATCCCTATCCCTACCCCTTCAGAGAGATGTCAGAGTATTCCAAAACTTATGTTTATTGTTATGTTGACATATAGATGGGGACAAATGAAAAATTGATACAGGACAATAGTTTTAATATTTTTCATAAGTTTCTGTTCCCCTCTGTTAAATCTTCTTTTACACTGTCCGAATCAAGATAATAACTCTATTTTCGGCGACAGTTTGATTAAAAGCGACTTTATCGGGCTCGAGGCGGAAGGTATAAATGGATTTTGTTCTCGTGCCAGTTCTAAATCCATAGATCATTATTTTTGTGAATTATTTTAATCCGAAGACAATACAAAGCCAGTTTCCAGACTGATTTATTATTCGGAAGTTAACTTTTTATTTTTTATTCAATAAGTTTTTATGTTTTCAGGTGCCATGGAGTAAGGGTTCAACGTATTCAAGAGTCGGGAGTACCGTTTCGTCAGTAAGTAGTTAAATATTTGAGAAATAAATTAACTAAACAGAAGTGTACAAGAGATCAATCGCAATTTAAAAGAATGTAATATTTTATTGTCAATTGGACAATAAGAGTGAATGATCGTTTGTCAGTAACTTGATCATAATTGATCATCTACGGACAGCTTGGTAGGCTATAAGTCAGATGCCATAATTGATTCGAAGACGTGATCAATTTTTATCAATCTTCTGTCACCAAACTAGAACCGAAATGGATAATTTTACTTTTATCATTGATAATAGCGCCAGTGTTGCATTATTTATTTCATTGGTTATTGATTATTGCCGTTCTAGGTGACTTTTTTGTTTTAGATAGATCGCCCGTCCAGGACGAGTTACGGCAGCCTCCCCAGGACTTATGGAACTCCCAGGGCGTCGGTCGAGAGGACGGTCGAGCCGGCGTCGCCGACGCGAAACAATGCCGAACAACCGAAATCCTACACCTCGAGATTTTCGAGAAGCTATTCGACAGAAAGGAACGCCGATAGCGTGAAGCCTCCAGAAATAAGAAAGTACGGAGGTTACACGGCTCCGGAGACGCCCGCCCTCCGTTTGGGCAGTTCGTCCAGATTCGGCGGGCAAATCGTCCGATCCCCGATTTCCGAGAAAAGTCCAAATGTTTTCGGGGTCTCGCCTGTGTCCGAGAAAAGCCCGTCTGCGTTCGGGTCGGTCGAGCGAGAACCGGAAATCGTGACTCTGATAACGCGAAGCACTTCACCGACTCCGCCTTGCAATTCGTCATTTTTGAGAGCAAAAAGGGCCGAAATGGAGCCCTGTCTAAGACAGGAAGTTCCCAAGCCGAGTTATCGCCCTTGCATGGTCAACAGCGAGATTCAAACGGAAGACCCGAAAAAAACTAGCACCCCGTGGGGCTCGAAGGTGCAGCCACCGAACACCAGGTATCGGGGTTACATAAAACCGGAAGATAAGCCGCCGGAAGAGAAGAAAGAAGCTCCTAGAGTCGGCGGACTGAGCTTTTCCAGGCCGACCGACCTCCCTTTACCACAAAGAACGGCAAAAACGATCTGTAAATCCCCTGTAACAGAAACTCCGCCGAAATCCAATACGCTGCCTACATCGGTCCTCACTAAGTCACAAACGCAAGCCTCAGTCAAATTCCCGGCTCAAGGGCCGAATAAAGATTTCAGAAAGTCGATATTAAACATGGATCTGACGAAAACGACCAAAGCTGAATCTTCCTCCAGCGAAAGTGATAGCAGTTCCGAGTCTTCGTCTTCAGAAGAATCCAGCGACGAATCGGAAACGACGACGCCCGGCGACTCGAAGAACAAACCGCCCGTGCCCCCGGTGAGGAACGAATCGAAAACTGCGATCGCGAAGACGCCGGCGTCTCCTGCACCGGTCAAAGTCACAATAAAAACGATTCCAGAACCGGAGAAAACCGTGAAACCATTCGTACTCAGAAAATTCGACTCGGGGGAGAGGGCCTGGTGGACGAGCAACAAAGACATTCCTAATGCCGCAAACAGTGAGAAAGTACCCGTCAGATCTGAGGAGGATGAAAAGAAATTGTCAAAAACGCCGAGAATAAAGAGCATTCAGCCAACCGCTTCCGAAGACGATTCCAAAAAGATTCCTAATTCAAAATTACTTCAAAAAGTTCCAAGTAGTATTTCTATAGGGAAATCGGATAGTTCTAATGTGAATATACCATCATCAAAATCGACCAGCGTTAAAGAAGACAGGCCTAAGACTTTACAGCTTAGAAAATTCGATTCCAGTGATGATCCTTCTTCTGCCGGCATAAGAGACCCGCAAAACTTGATGAACGGAGGTTCTTCAGGCGAGCTTAAAGATAAAACACAGTCTTCTCCAAGCGAGGTTAAACTGAAATCCAACGCTTTACAAAAATCGAAGAGCTACGCAGTGAAAACTTTAAGCAATTCCAAACTCTCCATAGACGAGAAAAGCTCGAGTATATCGAAGAGTAACGAGTTAATAAATGACAAGTGCGATTCGGAATCGAAAATCCCTCTCTCCCGGAGCACAAGCGGACTTCAACGCACTGGAAGCAACCTTTCGGACCTCACGAGCGACGAGGAGGTACGGAAACTCGTTAAAACTCCAAGCGCAAAAAATCTACCCAGAAGTCCGAGTTCTCTCGGCCTCAGCGGGAAACCCCCCATTAAAAGATCAGAATCCAAAGACCAACTCGAACACACACCGGGGTTCAATAGGTAAGAATAATTATTCGATTCTCTAGGTTTTTATTTTGCGTTGGGTTTTGTTATTTTCAGAATTCACAAGAAGCTTGGGTCCAATTCTGATCTGCCCAACGGCGAAGGAGTCTGGTCACCGACAAGCGGCACAAGGAGGATGCTGGTCAGGGTTGAATCCGGCGAGAGGGATTGGTGGTTGAGCGACGAAGAAAAAGCCGAGCAGAAGAAAAAAGCAAGAAAACCCTCGGATAAGGTGTGGATCGGTTCGTTCACGAATATTGACCACGTCCTGGGAAATCAAGCGCCTCCGCCCGCAGCTTTCCGGACTCCTGACAATTCTTCCGATGGTCAGTTCTGCCTCGTTTTCGGTACAAAAGTCCCGTTGATTGTAAGCGATAATTTTGATTACAGATTCCGATTCCTGCGACGACTACTGCTTTGAAGTGAACCCCGACCAAGTCAAGATACACGACAGCACGGCCAAAGTACCTGTGATTCAAAAGAGAGGAAGAAAGGTGAGCTAAGTCTGGTTTATTGAATTTGGATAGTTAAATCTGCATATCTATACCCAATATACTCATACGTACTATTTGAGTCACTTCTCACAGTCCATCGGAATTCCAGCTTTTGCAATTTACAAAATTACCGGAGTCCTCGAGAATCACCCACAATTGGTGTTGGCAGTTTGGGGTCAGGTCGAGGTAAGGCTCCGGGTTCTGTCAACTGCTGGGTCAATTCAGAACCCAACCTATGCAGTTCCTAGGACCAAAGACATTCACACTCTCACTCATTCTCAAATAAATTATCTCCTATTTATATACCATTCATTCAATTAGGGTGGTGGTGTACTTCCTCCTCCATTCCTCCATCGCCTACTATATAACTAACCTCATTGAGGGTCGATCATTACAAATTCGCGTTAATAAATCACTGATATAATTTCCTCTCAACACACCCTAGAGACACAACACTACCATTACTACATTCAATAAAACAACCAAGAATTGGAACAAGGGAACTAGGTACTCGCTGCCGTGCTCAAGCACAATTCTCATATCGCGTAGAATTGCACTCTTCACAAAGGTGTGAACATCGAGCAACCTTTGTCTACATGCCGGACGCTTACGCGGGCTTTGAACCAAAAAAATTGTCCTTGTGTCAACCTCCCTTAGCTTAATCCGGGTGAGCATGAGCCCTCTGCTAGAAGGACTCTGAGTGTCACCTATTGACAGTGCTCGTGATATGAGAGAGCTCCTCTGCCGATAAGGACCACCATCGCTGCCACTTTCTTTTAATCATGTTTTTGGTTCAGATCGCCCTGGTTAACTCCAGAGGTTGATACGTCCCGGCCTTAGCCGCCTCGTCCGCCTTTTCGATACCTTCCTGTGTCCTGGTACCCATACAACAACTACCGTTGACGCTCCAGTTCTTGGTATCTCTCCAACATTTCCACAACGAGACGGACGAAGGAGAACCTGTCACGGTCTGCAGTAAACGCGTTGAAGGAGTTGACGTAAAACACACGCTAATAAATACATTCACTCTCAATACACATTACGTACACAAAACTTATGTTACTACATACAATAAAATAACCCTGTTTCCTCCGAAAATCTGAACAAGGGACCGAAAGGTTCACACAATGAATATATTTGGCGGCATTTCTACTAGCTTCCTATATGAATCCATGTGGGACATTGAGTAACCTTCCTCTGCACTTTTTGTGTCAAGCGCGTACCAATTGTAAGTCGGGTTAGGAGGATATTTATTCTGCGGTTTAGATCCTCCAATGGCCACCTAAAAACCCATGGTCTTGACGCGTAAGAGGTTCTCCGACGACCCAGTCCACCGACGCTGCCAATTTTCTGGTTCATTATTTATTCGATATTCGCGTAATTCTTTTTAATATGGAAATTGTAGATCATTTTTCGTTTAATCACAACACCAAAATTTCTTTTCAAAAATTTACATAACAATCCTCGGGGATGGGTCGCGCTCGTTAATCGGTCCACGTCGTAGCTTTATTTATCGAGGTAAACATTTGTCATTTTCACTTTTATTTTAAAAAATTTCTCATAATTATTTTTTCTAATATTTTAATACTCAAAACATTAGGCGGTGTTGTAAAGTGAATAATCAGTGAAAGACTTTGGAGAAAGAAAGAAATCATTATCATCGCATTTAGTTTATCAATCGCCCACTCGCCACAAAGTATGAAGCTTTTCTTTAAAATAAATATTCATTCGAGTATGAAATGGCAAGATAAATCTTTAACAATTTTGACCTTAGGCCAGTGGGTGCCAGTCATTAGCAGTCTTAACGATTTTAACTTTCCCTTTATTTCATGCCTTTGACCCACAATGGGCCGGGTGGATTTACCATTGACATTTCCGCTAATTACAACCCGAGGGAAAAGCGGGATGGCAGCGAGGATGGAGTTAAACGAAACGAAAACGATTTTATTCCGTAATTAATGGAGACGCAGGGGGGCCGGGGCCAGGTTCCGGAGGAAATGTTGGTCAGAAGAAAGGTGAAAGGTTCCAGACAGAACACGATGTCCGAGAGTTCAACTATACTTTTCAGAACAATGGCCCAATTCCAGAGCGTTATCCGATCTCGGGTCATCCTCCGGCTCACGGAATCAAAAGTAAAATCGCGTGCTTGTTTCCTTGGCGAGGGGACTTCGAAATTCGACTTAATCAGGTTCAGCAGTTTCATTTTCGAGATCATCATTTATCAAGTCTATATTTACATTTATACAATGCATAGATTTCACGCTTTGCTTCTTTGTTAAACTGTGAACGCCTTAAACGAGTGATTTTATGCGAAAATGTGTAAACACGCTATCGCACGTCCATGCGCGTCCCTTTTGTTTTTTCGTCTGCTTAGTTTTCTCTAGAGTTAATTCGAAAGTGAAAATGATTATGAAAACAAAGCCTCAATTAGTGGTACAAAGTAGATGTTGTTCTCGGAAGAATTTCTATCGGTTCATTCCATAGTGCGGAACAGTCCAAGGTCGATAGATTAATTCGAATCAAATCGCAGAGCTGGAATAAAGAACATTAATTGTCTCGCGAGCTCAAAGGTTGCCAGTCCATTAAATATTATTAACGTAAGCCTGGACAATCTACGTGATCGCTTCTCTTCACATTCCTAAAGCTACAAACCTGCTAACGGCATATCCTCCTGCAGACCTATCATACTTTTCCCTGCATTGTTCAAAATCCTTCTAAATCTATTAAACCCATGCTAGGTACTCATGAAGCCATCCATCTCATCAATTCGGCTTCCTTCCACATCATTATACGATACAACAAGCTTTCAGTGTTGTCGACACCATCTCCTCTGCTCTCGAGAACAAAGAGTGGTTCCTAGATGAAGCACAGACTTTTGATAGGGTCTGGCACCCCGGCATGCTTTACAAACTTAAATGCTTCCTACCACTCCTTATTACCTTATCTTGAAATCTTACCTAACTGCTGCTTCAGAGTGAGGTGCAGCAACGAGTTCTAGGGCGTTCCACAAGAGAGCATTCTCGGTCCCATCCTTTATATCATTTATACTGCTGACCTACCTATACACCCTAATACCATCATCACGGATACCGCAATTTTGTCTTCTATCTCGAATCTAGTACCAGCATTGGACGGTTTCTCACGGCATGTGTACTCCGGGTGCAGCGCTGGCATAGCGGTGACTGTGTGAAAAAAACGTTTTGTAATCGCATTTGTCGTATGCTGTGCCTATGCTACAGTTTGATAAGGTCTGACACCTCGAAATGCTTTATAAACTTAAACTCTTCCTACCCACTTCACCTTTTCCTAACCGACCACTGCTTCAGAGTGAAGCATTCTTAATCTTAGCACCTGCACACCCCGATACTATCATCACCACCTACGCGGCCGGTACCGCAATTTTGTCTTCTAGCTCGAACTCTAAGAAAACTCCAAAATCCAAAAATCCAAGAACACTTTGATTTTATCGAAGTCTGGTGCATGGTTGAAAAAAAACAGTGTTGTCTTCTATAGCAACAACAAAGAGATACCAACTTCTATTTTAGTATAATGTAAGCATCTAGACAGCACGTGGTATCTCCAAGACAAGAGACAACAACTTAGTGTAAGACTGGGACAACTATGAAGACTTCTAGGAATCTTTCTTGACAGTCAAAACTAAGCAAATCTTATAAAAGACCCATGTATATATTAGTAGCCATAATTGAACGTATTAATTATTTTAATTAATACTTTTTATCTAAGGACTTGGTCGAGATGAAATACTAAGGTCATGAGCAGGATTCGAACCCACGACCTTTGGCCGAATACAGTTGAGCTATCATGACTTCGATCCACTCGGACACCAACCTCATCTCAACCCACAACCATTAGAATTTTCTCTATTTTTGCCATATTTTTGAATATTGTGTAATCAGGATTCAAGTGGTCGAAGCCACGATGGCTCAAGTGGTTAGAGTACCAACCATCTCAACCAGGACCTTAGATCAAAAGTATACCATCCCTAACCATCCCTAAGAATTCCGTGCCAAAAACTGCGTGATTGTTAATTTAAAAAAACAAAAAAAAACAGATTTTGACCTTTGTCAAACTCTATATGTAAAACAGTTTTCAAAATTTGCAGAAATCCTTTTAAGAAACTATTTTAAATTTTAACATTATTTCAGTTGCTAATAGATAAAAAAAGGAAAAACAAAGCTTAATCTTCAAGTCACTCGATATCAAAAAAATACCACAAATACACCATATTATTGTTGCATTCGATAGATATTTTAAAAGACAGCTTAAAGGATAAAGCGTAAATATATTAAGCCGGGAACGTTTTTCGGACGTCGACTTTGAGTGTTTTGTCATTTTGCCAGGGCCTCGGGTGTGATCTGATTTCAAATCTGTCTTCATTCAGTTTCCCAAGAGGTGAGTGAAACCTTTAGGGTGAAAACAACGCCAAAATTATATCTAGAACCGTCATGAAAGCCGGTGGTCACCCCGGGGGCACAGTTTGTGGAAAATCCAAGGACGAAAGGGGACGAAAGTCTTTAGAAAACTTCAAGATGGAAATTAAATTCAGTTTAGGAATTAACTTTAAATCGAGGCTATACCTGGTATTTTTCTATATAACATCATATCATAATAACGTCTTGATTCACCCTGGCCAACCCTCCTGGCCTCCGACCCGTTGAACCGATAAAGAACGCGGTAAAGAAAAAACGTTATTGCGCGTCAAAAGCACGGTCGATAAATCCCAGAGTGTAAACCGCAGAAAGATCGCCTTACCCGACTCAGAATCGGCCATACGCGGTTGACACAGAGCCCGCGAGTCCGGCATGCAGAGAAAGGTTACTCATTGTGTCCCACTTAATTGAAGGGTGTCATTCCATATAGGGCAGTAGGAATACCATCGATCTTTTGGTCCCTTATTCCGATTCTTGGAGGAAACAGGTTTATTTCTGTACACAGGGTGTCCCATGTACAGACAACTACATCTTAAATTGAACTTAAAC